ATACCGTTTTTATCTTTTTATTGAATTAAATGATCGATAGTAATTAAGGATGTATCACACATACTTGGAAAGAAAATTAAATTTGGAAATGTATTTAATACTTTCTGGGGACTATATACGTAGTGTATAAATTCACATAAGAATTAAAATCCAGCTAAACCGTTTAAGGCTTTGATTTCTATAGTTTGTTATCACACATATACAGTCCTATAATGCAGGGTGAGCCATCTAGCATTTGGAATTTCAACTATCGGTTATTTTGAGTTTGAAAGGCGTAATAACATTTATGACATATCAGAAATTTAGTTTTTTGTTTGACATTTACGAAATGGGTCGCTATACACTTGAACAAAATTGGGAAATATTGAAAACTTATTTCCAAAGTGGTGAGTCTTCAACCCAAACTGTAAGAAATTTACGTGGAAAATTTGGTAGAAAAGAAATGCCTTCAAGCAGTTTGTGGATCAATTTGTGAAGCGAATTCGGCAAACTGGATCCTTATTGGATAAAGCAACTCGTTCACGTGCTCGTCCAGTAAGGTCAACCAAAAAGGTCAACCTGTTGCTTAGAGTGTGCTTGAACAACCATCAACATCAACTCGCTATCGTTCTCAAAACTTGAACATTTCACGCACTTCTTTGAGAAGAATTTTGAATAAAGACCTCGGTATGAAGCCGTACAAAATTCAATTAGTGCAAGAATTGAAGCTGCATGACCATCCGATGCGTTTTCGGTTCGCCCAATGGGCTGAACAATGCTTGGTTGAAAATGAGCATTTTTACCGAAAAATTATCTTTTCTGACGAAGCTCATTTTCACCTCGGTGGCTATGTGAACAAGCAGAATTGTCGTATTTGGGGGTCAGAGAATCCGCACGTCGTCATGGAGAAGCCGATGCATCCACAATGAGTAACTGTTTGGTGTGGTTTTTGGTCCGGCGGCATCATTGGGCCATTTTTCTTCGAAGCAAGGAGCTGCCGTCACTGTCAATGGCGAGCGCTACCGCGCCATGCTAAACGAATTCTTGCTTTCCAAATTTGAAGAGGAGGACACAGATGACATTTAGTTTCAACAGGATAGCGCACCTTGCCACACAGCCAACGCTACAATCGATCTTTTGCGCACTGTCTTCGAAAATCGCATAATCAGCCGAAATACTGATGTCAATTGCCCGCCTCGCAGCTGCGATTTGACTCCGCTGGACTATTTTTTATGGGGAACCGTCAAGGATGAGTGTTACGCTAACCAGCCAGAAACGATTCAAGAATTAAAACATGAAATCAAAGTTGCCATCGATGAAATACGCGCCCATACAGTGGAAAATGTACTGAAAAAATTGGGTTGATAGAATGAGATATTGTGCAGCCAGCCGTGGAAGTCATTTGAATGAAATTGTATTTCATGTTTAATGGCAATGTACTACCTTTCCAATAAAGCCATAAACTTTGAAAAATATTCATGCGTTTTTTTTTAGAGCCAAATTAAATTCCAAATTTTAAATGGCCCACCCTGTATATTATATTGTTTAATACTAAATAAGCTCTATATATATATATATGAAAGTTGTATGAATAAGATTATATTTTTATTTACTAACATATTTTAATCGTTTATTTATTTTATTTGTTATTATTTTTATTGCTAAAAATAAAAATTTTTTAAAATAAAATTCTTTAAATATTCAAAGTAATTTATGCAAAGTTTCATATATATATATAAAAGATGTATGAATAAGATTATATTTTTATTTATTAACATATTTTAATCGTTTATTTATTTTATTTGTTATTATTTTTATTGCTAAAAATAAAAATTTTTTAAAATAAAATTCTTTAAATATTCAAAGTAATTTATGCAAAGTTTCATTGCGATTCACTAATTAATTACAAGATAGTTAAAGATATAGAACAAAATATAATAATATTTTGTTTATTTATAACTAGTTCATGCATCGCAATCTAACTCTATACAATAATCTTCAATCTAACTCTATAAAATAATATTGAATATATTATGTGCTTATATTAAAAAATTGAAATTTGTGTCATTTATTTTATACATTTCCATGCATTTTTATAAGAGCATAGATTTAAAAAATACTACTATTTAATAAAATAATTTATGATCCAATAAACGGCCAAATTTGTATTATTCGTATTATTTTTAAATGTGATTTAGAATAATCTAATAGGTATTTTTTTCATAATTTTATTATTATTTTGAAAAAAATATAAAGCATCCTAATGCTACAAGTCACATTGAAAAATATGTAATAATAATATGTAATAATATGTAATAATAATAAATATGTAATAATAATAAATATGTAATAATAATTATTATTAATTTACTCTCTCTTGCACTTTTTAATTAATTTATGCATTTATTTTAGATGCAATATTAATAATATTTAGAATATTGTTTTCATGTTATATATACTTATATGAATAAATAATCAGACGTGATGTAATTCATGAATAATTAATATTTAATATGTGAATTGAAAACAAATATCTAAAGCTTTCAAAAACGTGACTGTTCGTATAATACATCTTCGAAACTTATGAAAATCTTTTTTATGTCGGAGTATGTCCTTTTAAGATTACAAAAGATTGCACTAGTCCACTTTCAGTGCATAGAATTTCTTCAATTTGCTTCTTTTTAGTTTCTATAATAGTGGGAATATTAGCAGGTGTATGAAAATGAGAATTTTTTTTCAGATGTTAAAATTATTATTAATCATTAATCAGTATTCGTTATAATGTATAAATTAATATACCTTAACTTGTACAATAACTCCACTTCGACTATATTCAATATTAGGCTTTCAGTTAATCGTTCTTTTTATGTATCCCAATTTTAAAGCAATAATGAAAATAATAAGTATTATTTAGCATAGAATCTGCAATGATGCCAATGTATATAAATGCACATAATATTGAAAAAATCAAGAAATACTGCTTAATAAATACGCAATACTTGTTAGCGAATAAATATGTTATTATAATTATTAAAATATTTTACCTATAGTAACACAATACAAATAATGTTATTAACTTTTCAATATTTTTTGTCTTTTATGATTTCCAAAAGTAACAAATCGCTTTGAGATTTGCTAATGAGTAGTAATTTTTCAAATACAGTTTTGAAATTTAAAAATATTCTTGATTATAATTATTTGAAAACTTTTTCTTAAAATCGTTATTAATCTAAATAAATTATTTATAAATAACCTTATTTATAAACAACTAATTATATATACAATAAATTATTTATAAACAACTATAATGTAAATTTATAAGTAAATTTAATATACATCATATATATCATTAAAAATTCTTTCGAATGTTTTATAATTGGACAATTTAAAAGTATTTGTTCAGGTTTTTGTTTGAAAGAAATATGTTTTGTTTAATGTGTAAAAAGTCGCTTCCCACTTTCCAGGGATTCCGATTATTTCGTAGTCATATAAAATCTGCGTTATTTAGCTCTATAATAAAATAAATGAAATTGTTTTAATAAATTTTTAGCAAGAAAAAAGACTTCAAACACTAATAAAATTCTTCCTATTATGATAACTACAAATAGAATAGATAATATTACTTTGTAATATTATCATTTTGATAAATAGTTATTCATTAAATAAATTTTATTTTTTGCCAAAAGTTGAATATTAGTAATCATCGATGATACATGGCATGAAACTGCACCTGAGATTTCCACATTCTTTAACAAGATTCTTTCCTAAATCGTCAACATGATAGAATTCCAACAGTCCGTGAAATGTAATTTTATTTTTATACTTATCGACTAATTTATCTCTGGCCATTCTACATCTATTACCTTTTGCCTGAGTTGTATTTTCTTATAGGTGGAATATAATCAATTTCTTTTACTTCCTTAGGGAAAATTTTTATTATATTATCCGAATTGTCACTTGTAAGATGGCTAGAAAAATTTATTAGAATTGTACAAATATAACATAAAAAGTACAGTATAATATATGTATGAAAATAATATTTTACATTTGTAATAGAGTAATTGAATTTTTTAATGTCTATATTAATATAATAATCAGCAAAAAGCAATGCCCATACCGGAAGCTGGATTTTGAGTGCTTTAAATAATTTTATGTGAATTTATGTACATAGCTTAGCGCCGAGACACTATCAGTGTCTTCAAATACCACATCTCTTCGAATTATGCGCTGAAATAATTTTTCGGACTTATAAACGCAACTACCATAGCAATATTACATATTAAATTGCTTAGGAATTTAATAATTTGATGCTTAATTGGCATTATTGAAAATCTTATTGAAAATCTGTAAATAAATTTATTACGAAAAATATTCTCTCTCTCAGTCGGGAATCGAACCTGGATTTCTAGCATTCCATGTTAAGACGCTTGTATGGGTAATCATTGTATAGTAGATTCAAGTAATTATTGTAAAAATTTTTAAATATAATGAAAATTTTTTTCCATGCAAAAATCATTTATATCATAATTAGATAAGATTTATATTATACTACTTCGTAATCTTTTAATTATAATATAATTTTGATGATTAATTCTAAAAAGATGAATTTATACAAAGTACATATTATGTCTAAATTAAAATTCTTGTATTTATATTATATATCTGATCCATAATAAATGATTATGCGACAATTGACACAGAATGCCATTATATTATAATTACAGTGCGATATTGCTGTTACAGCTTTAGGACTACGTTCCAAGATCAGCAAGTAACTTTTTTGCTGAATTAAAAAATACATGTAAATTCATGTAGAAATGTTATCAGACATAGATTCAGCTTTGACCGAATAAAAGTTTTTTCATTTGTTTGTGTTAGAATAATTATGATTCTTCTACGATAAGGAAAGCCGTAACTTTTCCAGATGACTTCCGGGATACATATATAATACGTATGTGAAACAATCTTCGTGTAGCTTAAGCATGATATGCTGTGTACAAGAGATTTTTCTTTATTTCTAGGTAAGTAAAGAAGAACTCGCGAAATTAGTGCAGAGTTTCGAAGAGCAAGACATCCTGACGTCGTCCGGGGTTACCTTAGCTGGTAATAGGTACATCTACTTATCGGGCACGGACCGTGTGATAAGGGCAAAACTTGGCAAAGTCGGCGTCCATTGCATGAAGACGACGCAAGCCGTAGTTGTCTCTCTGTACGAGGACCCCATACAACCACAGCAAGCCGCATCTGTCGTTGAAAAACTGGGCGAATACCTCGTGTCCTGCGGCTATTAGGTCAGTATGTGACAATAACTTTCAGCTTGTTCAGCTTAAAGTAATCATCGCCATCACGAAGAGTTAGCGCTTTATTATAGGAAAGGTGTAGAGTGAAATTTGTTATCAGTTAGAAAATTCTCTCTTTCTTATTTTGGGAGATGTTTTATTATATTAGGTGTACAACTTTGCTTCCGCCGTTTTCCTATAGATGGCTTTAGTGGTAAGTGGTTGAAATAAATAGATCATAGACGTCATACAATAAACTTGGGCATCTGTCAACATAACCCCATAGAAACATTAGTCGATTTGTGTCTGCATCATAAAGTTATTCTCGATTGAAAATGTCAGTTTACGAGCTAAATTCTCATCATTTGCGGGAGGTTTTAATTTTTTGCTTCAATATGAAGAAATCTGCGGCTGAGGCTCATCGAATGCTCTCAAATATTTATGGTGAGGCCGCTATTAGTGAAAGAACGTGTCGTGAGTGGTTTCAACGCTTCAAGAACGGTGATTTTGACGTCCAAGGTCATGCTCTGTATTTGGTGGGACCAGCTCGGT